GATCAAGGGACCACGTCTCTCGCCGACAGGGAAGGCCCAAAGATATATATATATATATATATATATATATATATATATAAAATCAAACATTAAGTTGTATTCCATTATTTGAGTACTCATTGAGCATTATTTTTTTTCTCCATTATTGTTACGACAAATATCGTAGTCGATGACATTTCCAATTATTAGTTTTAATAATAAAATAAAGTGACACGATACAATCGATAAGGCACCGTATGAATATATATATTTATGAATTTTTTATATTTTATTTTAAATAATTTTGCAGGAAATATCGTCTCATTCATGGTGTACCTAGCTCCAATGTAAGAAATGTTATTTCATTTTTTTTCCCGAACCTATTTAATTACATGCACGCACGTTGGGCGAATAATAATATAATTTCGGATACATGCAGACCAACTTTTCGTCAAATCTACAAGAAAAAATCAAGCGAAGGATTTCAATCGATTCCGTACGTTGTTGCTCTATTCAGTGCCATGCTGTGGATATACTATGCGTTTCTCAAGTCCAATACCACCCTTCTCATCACTATAAATTCTGTTGGATGTTTAATCGAGACCGTTTACATTCTACTCTTTATTTTCTACGCGTCAAAGAAGGCAAGGGTATGTACGGCGTAAATTATAAAAATTGAACATTAATTTATTTTTTTTTCCTTCCGAAAAATTAATTATTTACATCTTGCATGGATTAATATAATATATTTAAAATCCAGGTAGAAACAGTGAAGCTACTCGCTTTGCTTATGGTTTGTGGAACAGGATTAGTCGGTGTCACTCAATTCGTAGTGAAAGCTTCTGAACGTGCAAACGTTGTTGGATGGTTTTGTCTGATTTTATCTTTGTGTGTCTTCATTGCGCCTTTATGCATTGTGGTAATTATCCGTACGAAAAATAAACCTATATATAAATATTTATTTTTTAAAAAAAAAATTTGCGCCTTTATACGTGAATAGTTTATTATTTAGGGCTTACTAATTTTTTTGCAGAGACAAGTGATACAAACGAAGAGCGTCGAACATATGCCTTTCCTTCTTTCGTTATTCCTTACACTTAGCGCCATTATGTGGTTTTTCTATGGCCTATTGCTCAAAGATCATAACATTGCCGCAAGTACATATATATATATATATATATATATATATATATATATATATATATATATATATATATATATATATATATATATATATATATATATATATATATATATATATATATATATATAAATAGAAAGAGACAGAGAAAAAGTTACAGAGAGAACAAGAGCGATAGCTTGATAGATAGCTGGATCATACGTACCTACAAGCATAGAAAGCACACACGGAGTCGGGGGGTGATCGAGCCGGCGCCCCTCCCTCGCTCGAGAAGTGTGCTTGGATGGAGCTCAGGAACAAGAGGAGATGTGTGTGTGTGTGGATCGCTCTCTTTCAGGACGTACACAAAAAGAGTAAAA